GGGAAAACCAAGGAAAAAAGACAACAGAAATGCTGGAAAAAAAGATTTTGTTCAGTTTCCTTTGTTTTTACATTCCATGTTCGTTTCATCATTTTTTTTCTGAAGAAAAAAGAAAATTAGGGGGTTTTGAAGGCAAAAGGATTGGGCAAAAGAAACTAAAAGATTTTTTAAAGATTTTAAAGATTTTTTTTTAAGTTTTATTGGGGCAGAAAATGTTTTTGAAAATGCACAAAAAAGAAAAGGAAAGTTTAAAAGGGAAGTACTTTCTATTCAACCATCTTAACAAGGGTTTGGAGCTAGTTAAGGCAGCCAGCACAGTGTGCTTTGTAATGTTTTCTAGATGACAGTCCATCACCTTTACAGGAATCCATACCAATGCACAGTGCCCTTGCATGAGATCACAGAGGTCTTTGTGGGCATTACATCAGGTTTGCCCCTGACTAAATCTGATTCAGTTTCCCTTAAGGTGTCTCCATGTCACAGTCAGTGCTATGACTATAACTCAGTGTAGGAATAACCCAACCTGGGCCTTAAAATAGGGATGAGGCAGGGCTGTATCATCTGCTGTATACATAATTTTTAGAGTGACGTGCCACTGCTTTTAAATGTTTAATTTTTCAGGCTCTGCCAAGGTAACCAGAGAGGCACACTTCTTGGCAGTGGTCATTGCTGAAGAGTGGTGGCTCTTGGGTGTCAGTGCTCAAGACTTACCAGTAAGATGTATGTGCTTTGCCAAGGTGTGTGGCACCTGTTTTTCCTGTGTATTTAGGGGTTTGGAAAAGTTACACAATGTCTGGCTTTCTTCTTTCTTGCCCAAACTAAAAATATTTAACTACACCTTGAAACTGGTCTTTTCAGTATCAGCAACTTTTTCCATCTTTTGTTTGTTTATTCCCATTTCGATTTATATCCATGCCATTATTATGTAAAGGAAAAAGTGTTTTAAAAAAGCTTTTATCCACTGTGGATAAATAAGTAAGGTTCTTCTTGGAAGGTGTTCAAAAGTTCAGAAGTCTGATCCTGCATGGTTGAAATTAATGAGTCCATTTGATGCAGGAACAGAAATATTGCTTTGTAAGAGCTACCCAGTCACATAACGTAGTTGTTATATGTAACTGAGTATCTTCTCTGATTCACCAGATTTCCTTTGATCTGAAAGGCTTTTTCTGGAAATAAATCTTCTTTTCTCGTAAGATTTTAATAACAAAATGGTGATAGATTTTTGTATACAAATATGACATTGGCACTCAATTGAATTTGTTTTAACAAAGGGTGCTTCTGCTGTAAAGAAATAAATATATGTACATACATATTTCTTATACAAAAAAATTCTATGAATATATATGCATTAAAGTAAGTCATTAGTGGCTTTAGACACTGTCAATCTTATATTTGTGCTACTTTTTCATTCCCAAAATATATCTGCTTATTTCTTAACCATTGTATTCTATTTCAATTTTTGACAACTAAGTCAGGCTGAAAGTGTGTAAATAGTCTTTGCATAACCTGTTACCAAATTATGGAGGAATTGATACTTTCAGGATTGAAGAATTAATAAATTATTTTTAATTTTGCCATGTCAACAATGTATTGCATTAAATATATGTAGAACTTTAGAATACATTTTATACCAAAACTTATATGTCACAAATAGGGTTTACCCTGGAGTCTTCCCTATGGGCTGCTCTGCTGTAACAAAAGTTGTGTTTATTCAAGCTCTTAAAAAAACACCCTATTTACTTTGCTCTGCTGTTTTCTCAGACTCGGGGAGAGGCTAAAAAACAAAGTTCAGTATTGTTACTCTCCAGACATACTATTAAGAAAATAAGCATGTAACACAGAAATAAGGCTGGATCTTATCTGCTGTGAGAAAGGTTGTTGTGGTATTCCTTTCAAAGACTTACCTCGCTTATTTGTCACTGCACTTTAAGCCTTGAATCACGTGCAGGCAGGAGAGACTGAGAGAGAAGGAGGTGAATGCTTGCTGCAGCTCCCTTTTTCACTTGTTAACTTTGCAGAAGTTGTAGCTGGTTTCAAAAGCTCACTTTTCAATGAAATTTACAAATATAACCACAAAATAGATTACTGTGTCCCTCAAAGTGGATTTATACATCTTTTCCTGAAAATACAAGAGATGCTGTACTACCTTTTATTCACATTGAGATTGTAGATAGGTAACAGCTTGTGTTAATATTTGACAAATCTGTTCTATGTTATGTCAGAAATGTAGCTGAAAATCTCTTTGGCTGGCTGGCTTGTACTTGAAACTGGTTTTCATAAGATCTGGATTTGAAAATCTCTCCTGCCAGACTTGTAGCTGTCAGATTCATTATCTTCAAAATTTCTCTTAACCTCTGATGGTGTTTTTTCCTTCTGCAGAAATAGAAGGTGCCTGCAGCACAGATGTCGCTCTTCTCCAACGAGTAGCTTCGTCCACCCCAAGTGATACCAGCTCCTGCTAGGACCATGGGGCTAGAGGGGGTTTTTTTAGGCAGTGGACAGATCCATGTAATCCTCTGGGGAAGTTTGGCAGCCATGACAACGCTCTTGTTCCTCACCTTCCTCATCTTCCTCTGCTCCAGCTGCAATGGGTAAGGCTCCAAGGCTTAATGGTTCTTGATTCACTTTGGACATAGTTTCCTGTATAAATAGTTAGTAGGAAATACTGAGGACTGAGGTACATAAATAAATTTAAAAGGTACTATTTTCAGAGCAAACTTCAGTTTGAACAGTTCTATTCATTCTGAAATCTAATTATATTTTTCTTTTGCTGTGAAGGAAGTACACAATTGTGCTTGTTCAGTGGTTTCCCCTGGAGCACAGGTAGACACTGAGTGTTAGCAGATCACACCTCTAAGCTGAAACTGAGAATATTAGGTGGGCTAAACAGGACAAAAAAAGATACAGGTAAAAAGGAAAGAAAAGTGATTATGTACATCAGCTTTGCTGTGGTCATTCCTGAAGTATAGGGAATATAATATTGATCTGCCTTTCAAGCAAAAATGAGTAAGGATCAAATAGTGATACTAATTACATACTAATTAATGCCTTATACCTTATCCTTATTTTATTCCCTATAAGAGGATTCAATTTCACCAATACAGGCACTTTTACTGCCTTAGTTTATAAATGTTTCAAGGCTCCTTCATGGCACATGAGCTGAGCCCTGCTGTGGGCAGCCTGCAGTCTGTCCATGGTGCCCTTGCACAGGCCAGACCAGTCCATCCTTTGCTATGAGCAGTGGGGCTGCTGTGGTCCATGTGGTCCATACTGTTATTGCTATATTTTGCAAGCACAGCTGAATCAGCCAAGTCTATAGGGGAAAAATCCAGTACAGCAGCCAAGTCTGCAGTTTGGATGCATGTGTCTATAAGGAGCATGTGCTTTCACCTCTTCAGCTTTGAGAGCACTGAGGGAATTGTGCAGCCATAAAATGCACTGTATTGGCACAAGATGTGTCTATGGTGGAAGGCCCTGTTTTCCAGCAGGATTTATCTAATGCCCACCATGCAAAACAGAGGTGTGGGCAAAAACAGGTCCCAGAATTGGTTGAAACCCTAAAAGGCCTAAGTTAGAACATGCAATTTCATGTGATTCAGGAAAAACACTTTTGTAAACTGTAAGTTGACACTTCAGTATCTTCTTCTTGTCACGGTTTCCTTTCTTTCACGGTGATATCTGTGTAAAAAAAGTAGAATTTTTTAAAAATTTATTTTAAAGTAGAAAGCCTATTTTAAATATTCTTTAGCCCACAAACATTGCATGTAGGTACTGTATCATGTGTATCATCTTTGAGGCCTTTTCCAACCCAAATGATTCTATAATTCTATGTTTTGTTTTGTAACACACCAGTCCTTGAAACATTTCTAGAAAGATGGATCAAACCACTGAGTAATCTTTGCAGTTACAGAGATACACTGCCTGAAATATTCTAGTGATTTTTTAAATAAGTTCTTGTGTTGCTAGTTTAGGCATAGTATCTTTTTGTTTCAGGTCATTCTGTAGGGCAGGTTGGTTGTGCATAAATGCAATTATGCAGAATTTCTTCCTGGCTTACTCTTCAAAAATGGATGAGGACATAGAAAACGGACCAAAGTTTGCTCTTTCTAAAATATCAGAGTCAGAAAAACTTCCAGAGAGGAAATTCAGCTTTTAACTTTCTCTGCTCTGCATTGGTGCATGCTCACTTGCTGTTTTATTATTTCCCAATTAGACAGAATTTTAACAGTTGCTAATGTGGAAGTACTGCAGACTTTAGAAGAAGCCAAAATTCCATATTGTCAATATTTTCTCTTCTTTTTATTTGACTTTTCATCTAAGGGAAGGAGTAACATTATTTTAAGCTTATACTTTATTGCAGTATTTTTGAATAAGAGCTGTATTTCCCAAATGGTAAGAACTGGAAATGTCATCCATGCTTAGACTCCTATGAAGGACCCAGGGAAGTGGGATTCCTTTAAAAATGTAGGCCCCTGCTGCTGTGAAATTTGTACACCTTTTTGAACTGCTCATGCTTATTATTATTTTGACTGGTGTTTTTAGTGAAAGTTATCTGGATTTTGTTGGCCTTTTTAAGTTCCTCATAGGATACACACTTTTTACTGACACAGTTTAAGGGACTTCCTAAGTAGTCTGTCACCAGAATGTATATCTGAGAATTTCAGATACAATTAAATTGAAAAATAATATTTTTATTATCATAGAATTATAGAATGGCCTGGGTTGGAAGGGACTTTAAAGATCATCTAGTTCCATGTCATGGGCAGAGACACATTTCACTAGACCAGGTTGCTCAGAGCCCCATCCAGCCTGGCCTTGAACACTGCCAGGGATGGGGCATCCACAAGTAGTTGCTTCTTGGAGCAACTTGTTCCAGTGTCTCATCACCCTCACAGTAAAGAATTTCTTCCTAATATTTAATCTAAACCTGTTCCCTTTCAGTTTGAAGCCATTCCCCTATGTCCTGTCTCTACATAATTATTTACATTATATAATAATTATCATCAGTCACTTCTCACTGTGGTCTTACACTGAGTGAGAAGAAGGGGTTTGTGTGTTTGTTGTACCTTTTCAGTTATGTTTATCACCATTCTGCCTCAATGGTGTTTTTACACAGAGGTCATAGCAATTCCTGTAATAATTTTCAGTAATTCCATTTTCAATATTATTTTGGATCATAATTCTGTTCCCTGCAGGAGTATTAGGTCTATGAATTATTGGCATTTGTATATTAGCATAATTTGTAGTAAAAATTCATATGCCTTTTTCATTAAGGGAAAAGAAGGCCAAAAATCAGAATGGAGATCATGAAAATCTGATGAATGTGGTAAGTATTTATTTCTGGCAGTTTGTGTCTGTCTTGTGGTTGGTTTGTACCAAGCTCCAGGCAAAATACAACAGATTAGAAAATAGCTCAGGAATTTCAAGGTGGTTGAGCATGGGAAATTTTAAAAGTTGCACAACAGGAAAAGGAGGAAAGTGTAGATCCTGATAATCTGCACTTTCTCAGTGCCCTTTCTGGCACCACTGTACTCCAGCCTTTCCTTCACTCCGTCTGCAGCCCAGGGGCAGTGCACCCTTTGTCACCTGCTGTCTTCTCACAGGTTAAAGCCTATGTCTAATGTCTATTACCATAAAGCTTGAAGAGAACATCACTCTGGACATCTTTGCATTTATTTCTTTTTCACAACTTAAACACAGGCACTTAAACATTTGAATCTAGTCAGCATGGTTTGGTTCTCCTGCCAATAATAGCCGTGGGCCAGAGCTCTGGAGATGAGAATGAAATTCGTTGCATGTGTATTCATGTGAACATTTATTCTGATCCAATGGTCATCAATTTGTGTTGCAGCCTTCTGAGAAGGAAGTTTTCAGCCATTCCATCACGAGTTCAGCTACGGAGCCTCCCCCAAACAGTGAACAGAACGGGGCCCTCAGCAATGGTGATGGTGAGTGGTGGCAGCCCCTCCCTGCAGGTGGGATGAGCCAGCAGCACTGTCCCGGTGTCACAGCTCCCACCTTAGCTGGGATCCCTCCGGTGATCCTGGGCGTCCTGGGCTGGTGATCCCTCAGGTGTCAGGTTTCCAGCCAACAGCTTTCCAAGCACACAGGCAAGCCATTTGTCAGAATACTCTGCACACCTCTGCAGGTCTGACACCAGATCACACAGAACTTACAACCAAGTCAAAAAATGCCACAAAGTCGTTTGCCTTGCTGGGAAGTCAGTGGAGATGATAATCTCATGGAGATTCAGGTAGTTTCAGCTGCATCTCCACTTCACTGCTGGATGTGCTCTGGCACAGCCCTACACCCCTGCTCCCAGTCCTCCACGCCAGACAACACTGGAAGGTGCTGAGGTCCCCTCCTGGGCCACCAGATCTGGGTCACCAAGCTATACCTGCAGATTGGCCAGGTCATCAGGCAGAGAATGGCACCTTCCCTAATATTGGTAAGCTATGGAACTGGGATAAAACCAGAAAATGAAATTGCACCTCAGAGTTTCAAAAGTGCTCCAGGAGCCTGTGGAAGTATTTCAGGTCCTCCTCCAGGGATTACAGCTTTGGATCACAGTCCTGTGCTGTGCTGTCACTTACATTTTTATATTTTAGAAAACAGGCAACATAAACAGGCTTCCTTTTTTTCCTTTAGTCTTTGCTTTGCTGAACACTCAAAATGATCCACCCTGAAGCATCGCTGGAAAATATTTTACTCAGCTGCACTAAAAATAAACTCACTCTCAGCTCAGAGCCACTGAGAGCCAACTGTTGTCTTCACACTAACAGCAACACCAGGGGCTCCACTCCAACTTACAGCTCTCTTCTCATCTCCTGCAACCAGAGGCTAAGCTATTCAGACTTTACCCCTTGCAGACAAGTATCCAAAGTAATTTTTAAACTTTGTTTTTGCAGCTAATTGCTATTCCCATCCATTGGCTTGTTGTGTATGTAGGTATGTGGTTCCCTGAGGGATTTGATGTGCAGAGCAAAGCCCTGCAGAATGGAAGTATTTCTCTCTGCCATGAGTCACCACATGTGCAGCTGTCAGAGCTGCTGCTAAAAGGTGTGCTGTCAACCAGCAGACAGTTTTCAGACTGTCTGATATTATACTCAGCTTACACTGCATAACAGCCCTTCTGAATAACAGGAACCCCTGTGCTTTAATTTCTTACTTATACTTTATGCACTTTTTGTTAATAGTTCTTTTTATTCCTGCTTCTGCTAGCTTTTTGAGCAGAGGCAGGGCTATGGAAGCAGAACTATCAAATGCTGTGGTTTTTTCCTTTACCCAACCTGCCAGCACTGTCTTCTCTATGCCAACCCTTCAGCTACACCGACCCCTTCTGTGCTACCACCCATAACTACAGAAGCACAGAAAGTTGAACTCTCATTGTTTTTTATTATCCCCTCCAGCCTGAATGGCATGTGTGCATACTGGGTTCTGTAAGGGTACTCAGCACAGCACAGAAATCCCTAGAATCAAGGACCAGAAAGGCATCTCCTGTTCAGATAGTGATTACCATCTTACACCTCCAGTTCTGTCCTAAGTTTTGCAGTCAGGGTATGCAGGTGCTCACTGTGTCTGCATGCCCTGAACACAAGAGAAAGCAATGTCCATGGCAACCACCAAAAGCATTGACTGCTTTGGCTTCTCTCACCATGTCACACACACTGAAGGACACAGAAGAATGGGTTGGTTTTGTTGAGATAGTGCCTTTGGAACTGTACTAGGAAAAGCGAAGCTGTTCAGAAGTGATTTTTAAAAGAAATAGTGTGAGGTAAAGTTACCTACCATGCTTGAAACATGCTTGTATATGCCCATGAATACATGCAAATGTCACACGAGTGGTGTAAGATGAGAAGCCCCATACATTCCAGTCCCTAATACGCTCCAGTGACAATGACATGTGGCCCACTTCTGGGACCTAAAACAACATGTTCTGCCTAACACTATCTTCTGAAGTCTAGTCTTCTCTCTTGTGCATATGGCCAGCTTGTTAGTAGGTTGTCAACCTACATTATGTGCTGCGAGACTAAGGGAAGTATGGCTCAGCCTTCGGTGAGGAGCTTCTGGTGTAGCGTGCAGGGAGGGCTGAGAGAAGTGCAATTCCAAGGAGAATCTGGCCAGCATGTTAAACAAGCTGAGGGATGGTAGTGAAGAAGGAACGCTTTCCTTTAGGTTCCAAAGAATGGGGAATTGCAAAGAGGGAAATCTAACAAGGATTTTTTTAAGGCGCTTGGTTTGTGGCCTCCCACCTGTTTCCCTCCTGAGACTACTGAGCACTCTGTAATCATTCAGTGAAATGAGTACAAGGCAGCTGAATATCCATGCACAACTAACTTCCCACCCCCTGTTCTGACAGTGAATGCTGTTGCCATATAATGTGACTTGGGGGTGTACAGACTATTTTAGATGCTGTGAGAAAGATATTTTACCAGTAGAGTGCAGAAATGTCTGTAACTGAAACCTTTTGCTAAGCAAAAAGCATGCTAATCTCTGGCATTTCCAGGCATTAATATCATTTATCATTTCCAGCATGTCACAAAAACAAAGTGATGTAGAGAGTACCAAATCACACCTTTTAGTTATTAGTTAGCCTTTGTTTGTAATACTTCTCTGTCATTTTCTTTAGTTCTTTCTGAGGACAGTACAGCTGCCTGTATCCAGCCTTATGAAGAAGTACAGACATCTACTGACCTACTAGATCAACAGGATAGTCTTGGAAAGTCTATAAAATGTCACCAGAGCCGGGAACTACCCAGTATTCCTCCTAACAACCCCATGGAAACTATAATCTCATCTAGAAATGCAGAAAATGATCAAGGTCTTGGAATGGAAGGGCCTTATGAAGTCTTGAAAGACAGCTCCTCTCAGGAGAACATAGTTGAAGACTGCTTGTATGAAACTGTGAAGGAAATTAAAGATGTTGGAGCAGTAGTCATTTTAGAAGGGAACTCTAACAGCAAATCAAAGGCTTCACTGACAGTTTCTGAAGGTCAGAATCAGATTCCTGAGTGCAGAATTGAGTCAGCAGAATATGCATCTGTTGACCGAAATAAGAAGAGTCGCCAAAGTGCAAATTCAGAAAGTCCTCTAGACAACATACCAGATGTAGAGGATGAGCTTCCCCCTCCAGTACCCATGAAGCTTCTTGATGAAAATGAGAATGTGCAAGAAAAAGAAGTGGAAGAAGAAGTGACAGAAGGAGCAAGTAAACCAGAAAAGGTAAAGACTGCAAATATTTATCCTCATCAAACAGCCAGATAATGATAAAGAACATATGGGTGACAGAGATAACAGTAACAAAAAATAACAAGAAAAAACCCCACCTAAGATGAAGCAAGACTGTAAATGGAAATATGATAATGTATAGTATAGTCTTTGCATTAGAGGCATATGCTCATTCTGTTGCCACCTGTATTTTTGATTGTTGCAGCTATGCAACAAGACTTTTCCCAAATATTATCCAGGAATTGCATGGGAGGCCTCTGCTTCTTTGTTTGAAGGTATTATACTTGTGGAAGCTGTTCCACAGAGATACTTCCAGTATCTCTGCCAGCACGTATAGCTTGTTCTGAAGCCACTTTCTTTTTTTTCTAATGAAACTGCAACTAACAAAAAGGAGAGGAAGGGATCCATCCTTGGTGGATGTCCTTACTTTAGATGTGCCTCTTTCCTTGGATCACCTTAGCTGAGCAAGTGCTAGGCACCTGCTCAAAGTGACTCAGTTTGTCCTTTGCTGTAGGAGAGAGGGATAGAAAGAGAGAGAGACTGCAGCTGTACACTTTCATATTTTGTCAAATTCTGTATGTCATATATAAACAGAGTGTAAGGAATTTCTAAGTTCTGAAATCACAGCCAAAAGTTAAATTTTCTCAGCAGCTTATTCTTCCTTCTTAGGGATGAGTTGTGATGAATTCCTTGATAAATAGAATTAAGACATTTTCAACAGATTATTTTCCCATTTGTAGTTTTTTATTAGAAGTATTTTAAGGATGCTTTCAGATCATAGAGACACTTTTCATAAACTCCTGAGTTGGCATTTTTTCAGAATGTTTAGGTATCTTCTTATTAATTGTGAACGAAAGAACTGTAGCTTTAGCAAATTTGTGGTGTACGAGTCATCAAATAATATTAGGTAGGTATTGATGCAAATTTCAAAAAAATTCTTAAGTTGCAATGTGACTTTTTAATATAAACATTCACATAAAAAGTCACTCAACAGAGCTGAGTTGTTGTTATTGTTTCTGGTTGTTCTCTTATTTGAAGAATTTCAGTAATCCAGGAAGAAGGTAGAAGAATATCTTGTTAAATAAATAACTAATCATGGAACGTGTAAAGAAAAATATAGTCTAACTGAATAAACTTCTTGCAGTATACAAATTATTTAGCTAGACTGTTCAGTGCACACTTTGACAAATAATGAGCTCGTTAAGTAAAAAATTAGAATGTGATTGTCAAAAATAATCCAGCAACATTCCCCCCTCCCACATTCCAGCCATAAGTAATTTCTTTTAGATAAACAACTTTGTGTAACAGTGACATTTTTCCTACCAGGTGTGAAAAGACTAGCAGAAAGTAATTGTATTTCCCAGGCACCGATACAAAGGAAAAGCCTTTGCTGCTCCATAGCTTCCCAGCACACCATGTATGCAGTGTCAGTAACTGCAAGGAGTGGGAATTGATTAAAATGGTTCAGGTTTTGAAGGATTAATCAAGAGATGACACATGCAGTCCCCTAAGTGCCAGAAAAAAAGGTGTTTGTCTAATTAAAATGTATTCCGAGCTGAAGCCACCCCGAGTTAAATCTTGGGCAGCATCAGATGATTCCCAGGCTTGCTGCTGGGTACATGCATTATGCATCGAGGTGTGTGCCTGTCCTGTCCTTGAGAGCTACAGCTGCAGCAGAGCTGGAGATGGTAATTGATGGAATATATAAATGTCATTATTGTTGGCATTGTGTGGGGAGGTGGCTGTGGGATTGTTTTTCTGTTGTGATGATGATAATTTTTCCCTTTATTTTGCTGCTTCAAGCAAAACAGAGCAGTGCCTGTTTTTTTCATTATGGCAACTGAAACCAAGATGTTCATGGAAATGTATGTTACATTGATAACTCTTTTAGTTAGACCCTACAGGTGTTTCTGGTTTTGCTTCCTTTTCTCTGAATCTACTTAGCTGCTTTTTTTAGCATGACATCTGTATCCCAAACTCTTCAACCTTCTGCCCTGGCCCTGATGAAGACAGAGGTTGTGTGTACTTCATGCAAGTCTCCCTCACTACAATGAGGGCACAAAGAAGGGACAGGCAGGGAGGCACCTGTGTAACCAAGGCTTGTACCTGCCAAAAGGTACAGACTGTCTCCAAGCTGTTTCAGTTTCACTGTCTAAAAGAGGGCAGCCAGGGAGATCCCCAGCCCATGACAGTTCCTGAAGCACTCCAGTCTGGGAGAGAACTAGGTGGACCAAGCCAGAGACCATTCCCATATATAACAGCATGAAAACAACGAAGCATCCTTTTAAGAGCCAGGTGTGCAATAATGGATGAAAATTTACCTAAACTGGTTTTTGGCTGTGAACCAGCCAAATCCTTTGGAAAGACTTGCTGAAGAAAGACACCTTTAGTAGCACAAGGCCTCTTTCAGGCCTCTATCATCTGCAAAACCTTGAGCATAGTTTTTCTAATAATACTGGAAAAACAGAATAGATTTAATTCTTTCTTTTATTTAAAAAGAAAGCATGTATGTCCTTTTTCACCCAGACCTTTCGAGGGTGAGCACTGGTAGAAATGCTCTCTGTGTGTCTGTCTGGCTGCTGCCATCTGATTTCAGCCTAGTACAGCCTGAGGATGGGCAAAGCATCTCTTTCAAATGCACCAGAGGAGAATGTTCTTCTTGTTCTTGTGCCCAAGTGAGGAGCAGCAGCTGAGCCAAAGAGCAAAAAATCAAGTGCTGTCGAGGAAGGAAAGGAAAGTGGAAGGCAAATAAGGATACATGTTTATTTTGCTACTGTTGAGGTTTCAGGATAGTTTAAAATGTTCTTAGGTACAAAATGTTTAGGGGCAAGTGGAATTTTTAAAGTTTCCACAATAACAATATCCTCCAAAACTGATGCACCACAAGCTTCACATTTAGAAGAAAGAATGCTGTATCCAGGGGAACAGCACAGGATAGCAAACACCCTGGGGTATTTATCAGTACTTGAGTGGGAAACTGTAGAAGGGGTCCTGACACATGGTGCTTATATACACACTGATGACAGAAAAATCACTGAAGAATTTTATGACTACATGCTTGTTTTAATGTGTGAGGATGAAATTAGTAGCTTACTCTCCAGCACAAAAAATAATGCTGCAGAGAGGAAAGACTAAACTAAGTTGCTGGAATGAAGCAGATCTAACAAAGCCAAAACATATTTGAACTTTTCCTTTTTCTTTCTTTTCTTTTTTTTTCTTTTTTTTAAGTAAACAAACCACAGGTTAAAGAGCACTGTACTCCAGTCTGTGAGAAAGAAGTGAGAGAGTCTGTCAGTGGGAGGGAAGCTCTTCAGGAGCAACAGGCAGAACTTTAGTGTGCTTTGGGCCAGGGTCTGTCAGCAGTGCCCAGGAACCTGAAGTTTGGTATTTACCAGAAGTAAAAACATCAAGAAAATGGAAGGAGGAAAGAATCTATCACAATGAGCCTCTGAGAAAAAAAATAGAAAACAAGTTCTGTGTGCCTGGAAGTGGTATTTTATTGACTGTGCTACAAATAGCTCTAGTCCTCCATGTTGGCTTGCACTGGAGGTGGTATGAAGTATTTTACTTGGAGAAGTGTGAAAGTCCAAAATACAGCCTTTTACAGTGCTAGAAGGCTCCCTCTGAATCCCTGTGGAGCAGGAGTCCAGCAAAGCCTTCTTGCCACAGGGAGGAGGCATCCCACAGCTGCTGTGTAGCAGCAGGATCTTTGTTGTTGTAAAGGTCCACAGGCATTTTCATAAGAGCAAAATGCTTTTCCCCTGATGTTTCATGACGTGTTTTACACTTTAGGTGCTTGAAATTAGACTTGATACCAAACCAAGCCCTCCATCCTTCAATGACTCAGCTGTGTCACCTGGCTGCAGCTCAGGGTGGGCTGCAGCAGGTCTGAGTGGTTGTGAGGCCAGGCTGCTGAGCCCCTCTGCACAGGGACTGCATTCCAGGGGTGGAGGACACAGCTCTCCCATGCAGCATGTCCAGGATCTACAGAATGAAAGATAACAATCATCCAGAAGGTGTCAGCTGAGTATTGTTCTAAAAGCGTATCTGAAAATCCTGTGGAAGTGCAACTGGTGAATCACAACAGCTGACTTCTAATTGTTCAGAAGCTTCTGCAGGCACTTCATAAGAAGTGTAAAGGCAGGGATACAGTGGTGCAGAGTTTGTTCTAACCATTACATTATTTTTACCCTTTTCAGGTCAGGACAAGAGCAGATATATTAAAAAGCTTTACTAACCTCAAGGCTGTTATCTCCAGAGAAGTACTCTGAATAGGGGGGATATTAGCTATGTATAATGGAACTTGAGAGCAAATGACCATAAAATGTAATGTATTGATTATAATGGGAGGGTTTTGTTACAGATTTCACGCTGTTGATGGGTAATGAGCCTTTTATTTTCTTTCTTTCTTCCTGTTTTACAGAGGCTTAGTTCAGTGTCTTACAAATCTCGAGAGGAAGATCCATCTCTTACAGAAGATGAGGTAGGTTTCTTGCATGAAATTCAGCAACTAACTGGAGACCAGTTTTTAGGCAGAAATTAGCATAAGCTCTGTGTGATTAAGCAGAATCTGAGAAAGGTGAAACTTGTGTGAAGGGAACATGAAAGCCCAAGATTCTCTGCACAGAGTTTCTATTGCTATGCTCCTAAAATCAGAAGTATTCTAACATATGGCTGTATCAGGCCCATAGGTTAAAAATTGTGTCAGAAAATAATAAGAGGCCACAATTAGTTGATTGTTAGGGTAATTTCTTGATTTGGATGACAAGACCTTCTCAATAAGAATAACCAGAAGCCTTTGGAAAGTATGCTCCACCTTCCCCATGCAAAGTGTTTGGGGCTCTGGGAAGTAAACTGAAGCACAATAAAAGTACTGGAACATAAAGTTTTTTTTTAAATGTCTGTTGGTCAGATAAATGGAGAAGAGTTAAACAAAGAGAAAAGTTAAAGATAAATAAGGCTATTTGTGATCATCTCCATACACCCATGCCATTTATAAATATGTTCTCTGGATCTAAAAGTAAACACAAACTTGGCACTGAGCTAATGCCTTCTGCTGGGAGAAGCATTCCCAGACATTAATGAATAACCTGATCTTGAACTGGGTTAATGTA